CAACTCTCCAATAATCGCGAACAGCGCTACTCACACGGCATCCTCTCCATATACGAATCAAATCCTTAGGATAACGAGGCATAACCCAACACATACCAAACAGACAAAAGATAAGATTCCATCAATCCCTCACCATAGGACAATGCATGAGAATTTGAGCAACTGACTCACCATCTTGTTTGCACAGGCAACACCAGTTAACAAGACAATTGCCCTTTTTCCTTAGATTATCAATCGTAAGGATCTTACCCCAAACAGCGGTCCAAACAAAGAATGACACTCTAGTTGGAGCCATAGAACGCCAAATAGTCTTCCATGGAAAATCAACAATATCGAAATCAGAAAGACATAAGAATAAGGAATGAACTTCAAAGCGACCATAGGAAGAGGAAATCCATGTCATATCATCATAACCTCTGCCAACTGCCTCCTCTCGACACAACAACTCCAGGGAAACACATACCTCATCCACTTCCCAATCCTGAAAAGAACGTCGAAAGTGCACGTCCCATGTAATCCCTCTGCTATCAAGTTGATAACAATTGGCTACGTAGGCATGTCTATCAACTGCAACACTGTATAAGCTGGGAAATAAACAAGATAAAGGCCGGTCTCCACACCAAAGATCCTCCCAAAAGCGTACACATCTGCCATGACGAACTTTAAATCTGATATGAGTAGAAAAAGCGTCCCATCCCTTCCTTGTGAATTTCCACGCCCCTACTCTTCCCACGAGAGAAACCGGACGAGTAGACCAACCACCATTCTCTTCCCCATATCGACATAAAACAAGCCTTCGCCAAGGGCGATGTCTTTCCCTTCCGTACCTCCACAGCCATTTTCCCAGAAGAGCTTGGTTAAAGGGGACCAGTCTTCTGATACCAAGACCACCAAACTTCATTGGCTTGCAAACTTGTTCCCAATTGACAAGGTGATACTTCAATTCATCACCTCTTCCACCCCAAAGGAAATCCTTTTGAATTTTTTCAATCCTATTAGCAATAGAGCATGGAATTTGGAACATAGATAAAAAATATGTGGGAAGGCTCGATAAAGTGCTCTTTATAAGCGTAACTTTCCCTCCCTTAGACAAGTATTGATTTTTCCATCCTGCTAATCTCTTCGCATACCTATCAATCACAGGGTCCCAACTCGCCACCGTTCTAGATGAAACCCCTAAAGGCAAGCCCAAATACGGAATTGGAAAAGAACTCACCCTACACCCAAGGACTTTCGCTAAAGATGAAATATCCTGAATATCTCCAACCGGAACAAGCACACTTTTAGCCATTAACTTTCAAATCAGAGACAGCCTGAAAACAGGCCAAAATGCACCTCAAATATCTAAGCTGAGACACATTAGCATCACAGAAAACTAAGGTGTCATCCGCAAAAAGTAAATGAGAGACCTCCATCTGATGGATAGGATCTCTTCGCACCATAAAGCCCTTGATAAGATCAAGATCCTCTACTCTTCGCATAAGTCTGCTTAATCCCTCCATAACAATAAGAAAGAGGAAAGATGATAAGGAATCTCCTTGTCTTAAACCCTGAGAATACCCAAAGAAACCAGCAGGAGACCCGTTCACAAGAACAGAGAATTTGGCAGACGAAAGGCATGTCTGAATCCATTTCCTCCATTTACTTCCAAACCCCATTCTCTGAAGCAAATAAAGCAGGAAATTCCAATTTACATGATCATACGCTTTCTCAATGTCAAGTTTGCACGAGACTCCGGGAACACCACTTCTCAATCTGGAGTCCACACATTCACCTGCAATAAGAACTAAATCAAGAATTTGTCTTCCTCCAACAAAAGCATTCTGGAAGTTCGAAATAATCCCATCCATCACTCCCTTCAACCTAAGAGCAAGGACCTTAGCCATAAGCTTGTAGATACATCCCACTAAGCTGATAGGACGAAAGTCTTTAATGTCAAAAGCACCTCCCTTCTTAGGGATAAGGGTAATGAAAGTTGCATTAAGCGACTTCTCATCACTCTCCAACAAAAACCTCATAGTGAATCCATCCGAACTCGGAAACTTATCACCATTATAGCTCTTCAGAGCTGTCAACACTTCCTTTTCAACTCTGAAGTCGAATCAAAGTCAAGTCTGCCTACCCCTACTCACCTTTTCCGCCCTACACAACTCCACCCCATCAACACGAATCCTCCCAATATGATTGCCACTCCTGTGAGCATTTACAAGCCTATGAAAGAACGGTCACCCTCTTTAAACCACAGAGTCCTAGATTTTTGTCACTATCAAATCTCCTCCAAAATAGCGATCTCAACAATCTCTGCCTGACAATCTGCTCTACGGACTTTCTGAGCCTCAACAATACTATTCATCTCTTCCATCTAATCAATCTCAACAATATCAGAAAACGGCCCTGTTCTTCCTCCACTCTAAATTCCCAAACACCTCTTTATTCCATCTTTTAAGCTGTCTCCAAGAACCAAAGCTTCGCAGCCAAAACAAAACTAGAGGTACCAACCACCATAGCCTCCTCCCACCAAGACCGAATCCTCCCCTGGAAGTGCTCCGCTCCGAGACACGTATTCTCAAATCTGAAAGGAGTACACCGAAATCTCAAACCACCACAATCCAGGACCAACGAAATATGGTCTGATGTCACCCTGGCCAAAGCTGCCTAAGCAATATCCGGAAATCTCTCCTCTTAGTCCCCGGAAATAAAAAATCTGTCCGATCGGGAGAGAGTAGGGGACTCCCTACCGCCAGACCAGGTGAAGGCTGCACCCTCCAACGGAAGGTCAAAAAGGTGATGACCATCAATAAACTCCGAGAATTGCAATATAGCCAAAGATCACATGCCACCGGTAGATCTCTCTGACGGGGATCTAACCACATTGAAGTCCCCACCCACGCACCAAGGAAGGGACCACATACCCCTCACAAGACTGAGCTCCTCCCATAGCAAGTATCTCTCTCCATCCTCTACCGGCCCATAAAACTCCGTAATAGCCCATCTAAAGCCATCCCCCATCACAAAAGCGCATGAAATAGAAAACCTCCCTTTCCAACTGTCCTTATTCTATCCCACATGACGAGATTGCCCCTAGAAGACCCCAAAGCATCCAACGGCTCCCACTATACAAACCTCCCTCCCCAAAGACTCCTTGCCACCCTATCCGTCATTGAAGCAACCTTTGATTCCTGCAAACGAACCACCTGCACCCCCCACTTCCTCACCCCTAACTTCACCACCTTCCTCTTATTTGGATCATTGAGACCCCGGACATTCCAAGAATTAATTCGGAGCTTCATGAGGAAACACTATCATTGCCCCCTTCCCCTACTCCTCCCTCTGCCCCTCTCACTTCCCCTCTCCCTCACCAACCCTTCCTTCCCCTCATAGTTGACATAAGAGATGAGATTCCTCACCTCCCTCTCCTCTCTCCACAAAAAGGATTCATCTTCCTCCTCCCCCTTCTCTGCTGTCGCAAGAAGAATCTCCAAAGCCTGCTCCCTGTTTCCCTCCCAACAATTCACTTTTCTCACCAGTATTCTTCTTCACCCACCCCTTATCTAAATCAGCAACTCCCTGCCCCGTAGTACCCGTCCCATCCCTTCCGGATGCACCACAGCCAGGAGATCAACCACTCCTAAGTTTGAATGACCCATTCCCTCCCACACCATTAAGTCAAGAGACCCATCCCTCTTGTCCCGCAACTCATTTCCCTCACCTCTTTCCAGCCCCTTCTTCGTCTCTTCACAAGACAGCCAGTCATTGGAGCTATCCCATCCACAATCCGACCAATCATACTGGGTATCCTGAGCCTTGCTTGGCAACTCATCAGACAAAGGTCTATGTTTTTACAGTTCCTGTATCAACAGAGCTGCAGATTCATCACTAAGAGTGATATGGATATTGCTACCAACGCAAACAGCCATCTTCTCAAAGCGACCAATCTCACCATCAGCCTGAATGCTCAACACTCTCTGCTCAGCAGCCTTGCATACATCAGGACCCTTGTCCCTTTGAATCTGAACCTCTCACAAGCTCCCCATATCCCTACCATAAGAAGCAAATGGAGAACAAGAAACATCTGGAAGCAAGCCAGCTTCCCCCCTGCAGTTCATATCATCACCTCATTCAGAATTAAGCCCAGTCGTAACAGAAATAGTCACATCCCTTTTTGACTTCTCCGAATCCGGATGCTGAGTTGAATCCAGATATTGCTTTTCTGATCAGCCCTTTCAAAAATTCAGCCATTTACCAAACTGGAGTTCTGCTTCACCGTTTGGATTTGCCGAGCACCTTTTCATAATATGCCCAAAGCAGCCACAACGAAAGCATGTCTTCGGGAGACGTTCATAACAAAGTGGGAGCTCATCATCTTACCTCCATAGTTAAGTTTTGCAAATCTTCTAATAGGTTTTGTTGTAGGATTACTTGCATCCGAATGTATTGGTGCCCATGTTCCCCAGCATCCCTGATCTCTATCATTTCTGCCGCTTCGAAGCCCGCTGCAATTTTCTGTCTGAGTTCCTGTGTGATACAATCGATTAGTAAATGTGTAATATGAACCCAGCACTTTACTGAACTAAAGTCCATCTCGTGAAGTTGCAGACCTTTCTTCCATGGAATCAAACATAATAGATGGTTATTGAAAGCTCCATGGACTGGATCTTTGAACTTTCAGGACATCTTCAGGCGTCAATAAGATAAGATAAAATGGTATAGGTTTTATTTGAACTTTCATTACAACACCCCCACAATGAAACCCATAACATTCCTGGGGACAAAGATGCTAATAGGTTTCTTACCAAAATATTTCCCGATTAAAGCTTCTTTCCCCCACATCAATCCCCTGTTTCTTAGTTGCATGATTCTAGGTCCAAATTTTGGAAAGTGTTCTTTTGATGTTTTCTAGCATTTTAGGTTCATTTATGGTCATAATGCTTCTAAAGAGCATGCCAGGTGCATTTGCCAAATGTCCCTTTATTATTATTTTTAAAATTTGTTTATTGCAGGTTGGGCCAACGAACCCGCTTGGGTTCTCATGCTGGTTTATATAGTCAGGGTGCTATACCCTCCTCCCCCTGGCCTCTGATATATACATTACTATACGGTCTGTACCACATATATACAGAGATGTGATATATACATCACCATACGGTCTCTATCACATATATATAGGGTGTGATTGAGATGTGATATATACATTACTATACGGTCTGTACCACATATATACAGGGTGTGATTGAGATTTGATATATACATTGTTATGGGTTGTTTTTTCTTTACTAAAATTTGAAAATTTTAGCAATTTTGATTGATGTGAGATAGAGATTTGATATATAGATTGTTATGGGTTTTTATTTACTGTTGGTGATGTTTCAATTTTTGTTTTTCTAAAATTTGAAAATTTTAGCAATTTTGATTGATGTGAGATTGAGATTTGATATATAGCTATGGGTTGTTCTTTACTTCTGTGATGTTGCAATGGTTATTCTAAATTTTAGCAATTTTGATAGATTTCAATATTTGCAAGAAAGAAGTGTTGTGGTGATCTAAAAATAAGACCTTTAACCACTACAGAGGAGTGGTCTAGACCTGCACATTTTAGGAAATACTATCCATTTGACAACTCAGATACATCGTGAGATTTAGCAGTCTACGTGGGGACTCTGTCGGACAAAAGATTTGATTTTTATATGGGAATTGATCTTCCAAATATTTCGACTTCACACGGGAATTGTAATAACCAACAATACAAAATTTGTTGGAACTGAAGATGTAAACTTTCTTCCATAGCTTAGTAAAGGAGACTTATAACCGCTAAAGCACATCTTTCTTCCAAATAACTAAAACAAAAAAAGAAAAGAAAAAAGGTTAAGGGTTAAATCAAAATCCAAGCAGGTACCCAAATGTAAGTTGAGCTAATTTATACAAGCAAGCAAGCACAAACAGTGACATCATAATCCACACGTCCATCAAGTTGTTCAATCTTGTAAAGATGATGAAACACTGCATTCTATAACATTGCATGCAGGATCAATTTTGAGCAGGGTTACCGATACGCAATGGTTAGGCAAGGGATCAGTGGAAAGCTCCCCCATAGTATCGTCGAACCATGACCGCACCAAGCAAAACTGCAAATTGCCCGGATAGAGAAGAAAATCCTCAGTCCGAAATCTAGGGGCATCATCATGTTTTAAAATTTAAATACAATGGGATCGTTTTCCAAATTTCCAACTGATCCAAGCTGGTGTCGGTGTCCAAACAAGAACCCAACAGAAGAATCGACAAAGGAAAACCACTTAGCAATGTCATAAGCAAACACAGACGATCGTTGTAGAAAAAGAGTGTGGCCCAACCGGCCGTAACCACCCTCTAGAACCCCTTAGGGATGTTATAGTAAAATACGGCACTGCTTTTGTCAGTTGCGATAATAAAACCGTCGGAAACAGTTGCATGAGATCGAACACATGTATACTCTGTGAAACACAAGTAGGAAGGAGCACTAATAAATGTCTGTAGGGTTCCTTTTTAACTGGATGATAAAACAACAATATAATGGTGATATCAGGAATACAAATACGAAGGAAAACAGAGGAAATGCTCAGTGTAGGAGGAGGAGAAGAAGACCAACTATCAAGATAAAGATGATGGTAGGGCAAGTATACAATATCTTATGACAGCTTTCCTCTTCTGGGGTTGGTTATTCCTTCATAGGAAAGTGTTATTTATAGATTTGGATTCCATTGGTTATTATCCAATGGTTCCTTCCATGCATGGTTCCTCGCATGCATTACCCCCAGTCTGGATTACGTGAGTAATCCAAGAGATTTAGGAGTTTGAAGGGTTTAATCCTTTTCCTCGAGCCTTGTCCTATGTTGCCATGTCACTTCTCCCTTAATCAGGGGCATTAAATGTTGATTGGCCGTCGGTTGGTCAAGCCTGACATAGCATTAATTGTGATTTTAAGGTTTGTTATCATGACATGTATAATCCTATCATCTTGTTAATTGGGCCTTATCGAGAGCGAATGTACCTCTTGACTTCTCATCCACCAATCTAAGATCCTCCCAAGTTTCCCAAATATAGATTCCTATAGCACGAAGACCCTACCTTCGTCTCGTGTTATACGCAATCCCCTGATGGCGAGCCCTCTAGAGCTCCAGCCTTTCAAAGCAGTATTGTCTAGCATAGCACCAGGACTCGAGGTATTCGAGAGTTGGTCTCTCGAGACTTGATGGGCTTGATGTAGTGTCAGGGCTTAGGATGCTCGAAGATCGACTTTTCGAGGCTTATTGGGCCTGGAGCGATTCTAGGGCTTGGTATGCTCGAAGTTTGATCTTTCAAAGCTTGATGGGCGTGGTGTGGCGCCAGGGCTTGGGATGCTCGAGGATTGGCTTTTCGATGCTTATTAGGCCTGGAGCGATTTCAGGGCTTTGTATGCTCGAAGTTTGATCTTTCGAGGCTTGATGGGCCTGGAGTGATGTCAGAGCTTATAGTGCTCGAAGTTTATTCTTTCGAGACTTGATGGGTCTGGAGCGATGCCAGGGCTTAGAGTGCTCGAAGTTTGATTTTTCGAGGCTTGATGGGCCTGGAGCGATGCCAGGAATTAGAGTGTTCGAAGTTTGATCTTTCAAGGCTTGATGGGCCTGAAGCGATGCCAGGACTTAAGGTGCTCGAAGTTTGATCCTTCGAGGCTTTTGACTTTTCAAACTGTCACGGAAGATTTGGCTAGGGCTGTATTGACTTGTTAACATGCCACGTCCGTTTCTAATAAGTGACACCCACAATGTCTGAGCATCATGTTTTGGTAGAATACCTCTAAATCATGGCCGCCCTTATCTCCACTGAGAACAAAAACCCTATCATCATAGGGCTTCAAAGGCTTTATCACGACGGGTTCGCACTTGTAAGTTCGCATATTTTGTTTTGCTTGGAAATCACAAGTCACACTATCATACACCCAAACCTCACTAGTTTGTTTCCTTCCAGAACCAAGCATATAAATTCTGGATCCAAAACAGAAAAAACCCATACCATGCTCGAATTCTTTTCCCAAAAGAAGCACCGGCTCATCCAGATCCACCAAAATGGGTGCCGGAATTGTTGCCGCCGGACGAGAAACTGCTGTCCAGTGGGAGAAATAACTAAATAGGGAGACAGTCATCCATCTGTCTGCTGTACAAAGCATAATTATACTCCTTCGATGTAGCATAAACAACGATCGATGTATAGACAATTCTTCTTGCTTGACCATCCCAGTGTATTCATTCATCTTACGGGCTAGGCATGAGACAATCAATTTGTATTTATCGGAAGAGGGAGTCAAAGTGAGAGAACCTTACACGATGGGAATCAGAAAACTAGTTCAGATGAACTGGAAACCTAGAGACGGCTGAAGAGAGATGGCGGAAACCCCAGAGACAATTTGTGTAGACAACGTTAGTCCGGATGGCATGAGCCCAGCAGATATATATTAGGGATTCTTACATAAATGTACTTATGGGCTTATATTTACTGTATGATTAAGTCAAAGTCTTGAAGTTTTAAAAAAAATGAGGTTGACTGAATTGCTGGACATGAACTTTTACTGTTTATTATACATTTTTACCTAAAATACCCTTCCTCTGTTTAAATCAAATTACTTCACTACCCTCGTTTCATTTATCCAGTAGATCCACATTTTTTGGGAGTTCATTTGAGATTCACAACCATGGGATTTTGGCAACAGTGGGTAGAGAAGGGTGAGTGAGCGTGGCGGTGGTGGTTGCGCCATAATGAATCTGTACGGCGAAGGGTGAATGAGAAATAAAATCATGGTGGTTGCTCCATCATCGATCTGCAAGGCGACTGAGTGAGCCTCATCTCCTTGGACGGCGACGATTCCACCATCAGCCCGTCTTTGCGACCTAATTGGACGGTGTGGTGTATTAGGGACCTTTCAATATCCTATTACCATCAACAGCAACCAAGACCCTAAAATCAAATCAACAACACCTAATCAGACCCACTCAACGTCACGGTGATGGTGGACGAGGTGGCCTGACAGTCTGCTTACTCCACCGCTGATCCATTTACTTCACGCCGGAAGTTCACCGCTGATCCGTCCGCCTCAAAGTTGTTCTATATCACGCTCCCATGCCCCCCGCCGCTGGCCAGCAATCGTTTCTGTAGCGATCAGCCGCCGACGCTCTTGCCGGTTCAAGCTCAACCCCTTTAATCCATCTTCTTCCCCATACATCGCTTTCGAGTTCAAGTGTCGTCGTGGAGGGTGGGGGTGGTTGTGTGTCGGTGGGGAGAGGGAGAGGGAGAAGGATTAGAGATTGGTCTCACTTTTCCCAGGTCTCTCTCTTCATGTATATACATATTTATGTATATATAGCGTTTTTATATATTTAAGATTTCTTCTTGATCTGTGTTGATGTATTTTGAATTTGTCTGTTTATTAAGGAGTGATTTGTGATTTTCCACACTTCATGTTTTTATTATTATAATTCAGCACAAAGTGAATTTCTCTATTTATTGGGGGAATTATGAAAAAAAAAAAAAAAAAAAGTGAGATTGGGGAAGTATAAGAGAATCGGATTTGATTCAGAAAGGGTACAATTTGCAGGCTGTTTGGAGTCCAGATGCCAAATTGGGTGCGGGTAGAAGAGAAATTCTTTGATTTCTTCTAGACGATATGTGGGGGAATTGAGGTTCGGATCTTATCGGGCCATCAATGGAGGCCGAAGTGGACGGAGAGGAAGATGGCGAAGAATACGCCGTTGGTGAGATGCAGGGGGAGAGAGTGTTTATGTTAATTTGTGTCTGAATTAAATGAATGGGGGTCGTGAAGTAATTTGATTTAAACAGTAAAAGGGGTATTTTAGGTAACAAAGTATAATGAACCGTTAAAGTTCATCTCTATATCAGCAATTCAGTCAATCTCATTTTTTTGAAACTTCAAGACTCTGACATAATCATTCAGTAAATACAGGCACATAAGTACATTTATGTGTAAAAATTCCTGTATTTTATGCCTTATATTTGATTACAAAAATTTATTTTGTAAATTTTGAAAATTTACTATTTTATTGTTATAGTATATGGTATATGATATATGTTGATGAGTCATTTTATTCAACACTAGATTTTTCTAGTATTCTGAACTTCTGATCCTAAATATAAAGAAATTCGAATCTCGCTCATCTATTGAATATAATTGAATAAAGGAATTAGGTTTTCATATATAAGATTAATATAACTTATAGTCATGGAAGGACCAATTTAACTCGCTGTCATACACTATGTCTTTATTTACATCTACAAACAAATAAATACCTTGTGGCAGCGAAAATTTTAGTTGTAACAAATTCATCAAT